TATTATATTAAAATCAGGTTTCTGAGACTGAAGAATTAAGACTTGTTCCTTTAAGTTGTTGGTGGGGGGATCCCCCCCCCTTCTTGTTTATCTGACTTTATGAGTCTCAGTGCCATGTTTCCGCCCAGGCAGGCTTTGTTAAAAAAAAGCAAGAAAAAAGGACTTCTTTCCAATCAACAACAATATCAGGTCTCCAAGGGAAAAAAAAAAAAGAGAAAGACACAGGAGCGAAGTTTTGTCTACAAATGTAGCCAGTGGTATTTATTCCGCTACATTGTAGTAATAGAAAACGGAAGCCTCTCCTCCAGCCAACGCCATTTTAAAAAGCTTTTTTTCCCCTCCTTCCTCTCCTCCTCTCTCTTAAGTAATTTCTTTTTTAAAAAATCAGAAAAATACTTGCGGTTCAATATTACAGGTCCAGCTCACATTTTCTTTGAGTAGTCTGTTAAATTTGCAGGCTTGCTTTTGACGCCTGGCTCTGCATCAGCAGAGGTCTCCCAAAGCCCGGAGCGGCGGCTGGGGATACGGGGCATCTCATCCGCTCCGTCCCAAAAGTAAAAAAAAAACTTTTGGGACTCCGCAGAGAGTTCTACCCACCCCTGCCGGCTCTATCTCCGTTTCCTCATGGAAACGGAGTTTTTTCGAGCCGCCGTTCCGTTGTGAAGGCGGCTCTGACAGGCAGTGGAAGCTGACGATCCCAAAGGAACGTCTGGCAGCAACAAACAGCAAACCGGAAGTCATCAGAAGTTTTTAAAAGCATTTTTTACAGCCTCTTCTGCCGAAGAGGTTGTAGAAAAAATGCTTTTAAAAGCCTCTGACGATCCCAGCTGAGTTGCCTGATCGTCAGAGGCTTTTAAAAGCTTTTTTTTTTACAACCTCTTCTGCCGAAGAGGTTATAGAAAAAATGGTTTTAAAAGTAAAAAAAAAAAAAAAAAAGTTGGCCATGCCCACTCAGTCATATTACCCCCCACCAAGTCACGCCCACAGAACCGGTACTAACAAATTTTACATTTCACCACTGGGTGAAACCTTTTAGATTTCAGCAGGTTTTTTCTTCTATTAAGTTCCTGAAGTGTCTCAGGTATTGCTTATTGGTCCTACCAATGTTCACCTCTAAGCTTTCTCATTTAAAAAGTTGCATGCTGTGTAACATCTAAATAGCATTGAAAGCATTGAAATCATTTAAATTTTATTTAAATGGAACATTTTTATTTTAAAACTTCCAAATTTTTTTTGAAGTGAACAAAAGAAATGGAACTATTCCAGAGTTATTGCTATTTTTACATGAAGAAGTAGTATTGCATCTTAATTATCTTCTACTGTACATTATCTGAGACCAACCATTGACTATACTTGCTGGCAATCCCGGTAGAATCAAATGCATACAAAGAACTTTCAGTGGGGAGGGCTGGCTCCCCAGATTGCACTGCAGGCAAGTAGACCTAAGAATCTTTCTGAGCTAGAAGACTTCTGCAAAGAAGAATAGGGGAAAAAATCCCAAAGCTTAAATAGAAAGTTTTTTAAAGCTGGATACAGGAAATGCTTAGAAACATGTATCTCTATCAAAGTAGGCCTTTGTATCTCTACCAAAGTACTGCCTGGAAGGGTGTCCAATTTTTGCATCTGCCATATTTCTTACTTTGAATCTGTAAACAAATTACACAGAAAAAACAAGGGTGCATTTACATTTGCAGAAGGATGTATTTAACTTTGTACCCTGTGGAAGCTGTTTCAGTTTCTACTCGTTTTAGGAATTCATTGAAACATGCAATTTGACTAAGGGAACCTAAACTTTTGCATATGATTTACTAATTATTTGTACATTGCATGTTATATTTTTCATATGCATATTTGGTTTCTGTCTGTTTTAACTCTGTGATGTAAATTCCTGCCATGGAATATAACATTTGCGGTGGCATTTTTAATTACTTTCTTTTTAAAAATAATTTAAAATCCACATGGGAGACATTCAGTTTGGGATCTCTTATTATTAGTTACTGTAAAGTTTGCAATGTAATTCTGCATTTTTAATTCTTTCATTTTGAGAAATGAAACAGTATTTTTAATTCTTAAATTTATCAAATGTTATCCAAGAGACTCTGTTGTAAGATAATATAATTGAGGGAGAAAGCCTCCAAAGCATTATTAAAATTATCAAATTTTATTCCAAGCTAATAAAAGAATTTCATAGAGTTGGGTATGAAGTTAATTGCTTATAGGTTTTACATTATAATGAAATTCAATATCTTGCAGAGCTAAAAGGTTAAATTATGAAAAAATATAATTAGGAATCCAATTGTTAAAACTACACGTTTATTACTTTCTCTTACCCAACTCTTCATCTTATCCAAGTCTTCATTTTTAATGTAAAAGAATATAAGGGGAAAAAACTAAAAAGAATTACAGCCTTGGATATGGAATTTATCTAAAAACTGGGTAAGAGTATACATGTGAAATACCTTGCCATTAAGAATGAGTCCAGAGAACTAATGTGACCTATTGGCCATAAAGCTGGATCTTAAAATACACTGATTTTACTGTTTCTCAGCCATAGTTTAGTCAGGACTTGTGAATGAATCTAATAATTGACACTTTAAAGTTAGGGAAGGATATGGGGGAAATTAATTTAATAGTTTCAGTGCAAACATATGTAATCATTTTTAACCTGATTTTAAATACAGATGTTTGTTATGCATTCAAGAATTGAAACTTGTAGTAAATATTAAATCATGAATTTTCTTATATTTATCACATATACATTTATGTGTAATTTGTGACATTCAAAGTTTCTTCTATAAGTTCCATTATCATGAAAAAGTGAACGTAGTGGGTTTATTCTATGTAAAACGTCTTGTTCTGAATTATCTACATAAAGAAAGCAGATCAATTCCTTCTTTGCTCAGCTTTTAGTAGGGTCCAAAGGCTGTTTTTTAAAAGCCCGGGTATGGTTCTAAATTTCGGTTTTATTTTTTTGCATGTTTTCATTCAATTCCTTATCTAAATATTTCTCTTTCTTTGAAACTAGCTTTAAATATTTTCTGTTTGCATCTGTAGGTGTTTGTTTTGATATTTAAGATCTGTGGTCTTTACTGCTCTAAAATAATGTTATAATAATTTGATAGTTCAAGAGGTATTTTTTAGTGAGAAAGACGCACTGAGGATCAGCTTTCTCTTACAAAGAATATATTGTTCTTGAAGGTCTTCCCAGTGCCCATTTGGCTGCATTCTTCTAGCATTTATTTTTCTTCAGACAAGTAGAAATAGGAAGTGCTGCTTCTAGAAGTTGTTCTGAAATCACTGGATAACATGACTTTGTTGCCCATGTGACTGCTGTATTGGTGGGAATGTCACAACCTTCCCATATGTAGTCTTTCAGGAATTCTGTAAAAATAAGACTTTTTAAAAAAATAGGCACTCCCAACTATGTGTATGATTTTTTGCCTTTGGCATTGCTTTCTTCCAACATGGAACAAATGGATTGAAATTAATTTTTTCTTATTTAGACCTTCATTGCTAATTAAGAAAATCGTATTTACAGATAAGCCCATTAAGGGTCTAGGCTCACAACAGTTGCTACAGTATTAACCTGCATTCTGTAGGAGAGAATAGCACTTTTAGTAGTCTGGAAGAGAAGATATTGTTCAAGAATTCTTCTGAATTATAAAAATATTTTTTTGCCTTGTGCTGAATAATATTAATTCCTAGTTGGGGAAAGACACCCACCAAATGAGGGATGTAGTTCCACTTAGCCAGATCAGACAGGAAATACAAATGAAATAAGTTGGTTCAGGATTCTGAATATGTCCAAGCATTAAACCTTGTACTAAGATCTGATATTTTAAATTGTACTTCTCCAGCTGTGTTCTCCGTTGGATTCTATTCTATATTTTCTTGCTCATTATATATATAACCCTGAAATGATTATCTGGGGATGAAAGACATCATTTGTAGGTGCTCTTTAAGTATCCTTATAATAAATATTCTGTGCAATAGAAATATCAGCCTTCTGAATGTGGAGCCTCTGGTTGTCCATACTAATTGAGAGTTAGAGTCCTAATGTGTTTAGCAGGATAGAAAAAAGGCTATTCCTTGCAGCGTAGTGATTTCAGCTGTGCCCATAGTTTGCCAAGTTGGGAGGGAGAGAAGGGATGGAAAAGGAGATAAGACAAAGTACTAAAATACAAGAGAAAGTAGAGAGGTGTTATCCTGGCAGCTGGAGGCCATGTCCTACTCTCACAAGAGAATTAAAAAAGACAGTACGGAAAAAAAATAAAGGAATATGCAGCTATTATTTTAAGATGTTTCTAATAACATTCCAATTGCTTGTACTTGGAATGCATATAACTTGCCGACTACTGCCTATTTTTTTATGACACTCAGACTGTTTATTGAACAATGGGATAGTCTTAAACAATTACGTTGAAAAGAATGTGTCTATAAAATGGGTGGTACTTATAATTATTTTATGGCAATTTATTCCATAACAAAGGAAAAGAAGTTTGATGTATCTAGGTCACTATATACACACAGTCTGAAATGTGAGAATTGCCAAATTATCTTAATTTGTATATAAGCTTTTTCTTTTTCTAGAAAAATGCAAAACCTGTTGTCTGGAATAATACTTTAATTGTGAATATATAAAATGATATTGCAATATAATATTCTTTTAGGTTTTGCAACACTGTAAAAATAAGGCTGTATGCTTAATTTTATTAATCTTTGAAAAGGCAGTTTTGGACTTTCATTTTCAAAAGTCAAGCTATATCAAGAAAAGATCCAGCTTCCAAAGCAGTTTGGAAGATGTGATATATTATGTTTTGAAGCCACATAAGTTTGGTAGCTTTAAGCTGTGGCAGCATATAGGACAGTTAAGTGGCACAAATGAGATAGAAGTAGGCAAATTGAAGGTGCCAGGTAAAAGCTTTAATGGTAAAGTTGACAGTAGATGATTTCCAGCTTCTAACAATTGTACTAAAGTGTTTTATTTTTGTTTTACATAGCCCTTTTTATGGAGAAGACTTTTACTGTGAAATTCCACGGAGTTTTCGACATCTGTCATTTTACATTTTCGATAGAGATGTTTTCCGCAGGGATTCAATCATTGGTATGTGTTTCTATCTTAGTCCAATTTTCAGTCTTAATTATTTTCTCTAGCTGGAGAAGTTCTGTATGTTCACACATTTGTCAACAGTACTGAATAAAAAAAAAGCATGTATTGTTTCCTTTTAAATGTAGCATAAACATTTCAACATACTGTTCATCATGATTGAGTTATGGTCATGTTCTTAAATAACTATATACAGTAACTATAAAGAGGGTAAAATTCCTTCGAAATAAAAATCTGTACAAGTTGTATTTCTAAGTGAGATGAAACAAGCTTTTCAAAAAGTACCTCTCTTTTGAAAAAAATAAAGCAATTAATCTGAACATGCTGTGAACTAATAGATAAAGAGATTCATCAATCCCGAATGTTGCTGAATGGATGTATTCATTTAAACTTTGGTTTAGTTTTAGTTTGAATATTTCAGTTGAATTGCAGGTTAAATTCTGTTTTGGTGATATTTTGAACATATGAAGAAACAAAGTTTTGAAAATTTTGCAGATCCTTCCTTCCTTCCTCCCTCCCTCCTTTCTTTCTTCTTTCTTCTTTCTTTGATGTTCCTTTGGTTCTCAGATTGCAAGTGCAAAGTGTGTAAAATATTAAATTTGGGGTGATTGAGAAATAGCCCAAAGTCCAAAGATGATTTATATACATTTCTGGGACAGACAGATGAAATTAAATTACAATTACAAAAGGAGGCAGGCAAGCAGAAAACAAAAGGAGTGAGTCAGGAGGACGTTTTGGAAGCAAAAAAACCCAAAGGATTAGGATGTTTCCATCTTCAGCAGACATGCTGCTAGGGATTCTCAAAGCATTGTAGCAATCAGGAAAACATTGAGCAAAGTTCAGGTAAATGGAAAAAAAGTGGGTAGGGAAATGAGGAAAAGAGAAAAGAGAGCATTCATTTAAAATATTCCTATACCGTCGTATGGTCTGGAATGCAGTTCTTTCTCTAATTTCTTAAACCTTACAATTCAGAACATGTTCTGTTATGTTTTTATTGGCTTCTGCAAATCTGCCAAGATAACACAGAGGAATAAAGAAATAGGTTTTTATTAAGGTGAGAAAGCATAAAATACAATTTAGTCTCAGTCTTTTTTCTTGGTGGGATTGAACATTGGTCTCAGCCTAACTGACCTACTGAAGCATAGTCAGGTATCCGCTGCATATTTCTCATATTTCCATGGATGTTCTTAGGGGAGAAACTCATACTTGATTTCATCAAACTATGTGCTGCAAAAGCTGAAAACATGCAAATGCTGCAGTGTATATACCTGTGTATAAGTTAGGAGACCAAGATGTGGTGGCAGCATTGATGCAATTAGGTCACTTTACTGCGGATGCCATACTATACTTTCACTTCTGGAACTAGAAAAAATCCAGAGACCTGTTGGATAACACTTGGCTATCTTGTATTCTTCTCTGGTTAAATGTAAATGTTTTAATATCAAAGTGCTTTTTAATCTTAAAAAGTTTAGTTATATGGGATAATCTAACAAATGGCAACACTAGGATATATATATATTTACATATTGAGATTCAGAAAGAAACCAAAGAAGCGCTTGAGTGGAGAATGTATTTATTTGTCAAATTTATAAGTCTGCCAGCTCCCATAAAGATTCTGGGCAGTGTGCATTACAAACAAAACAGTATAACAAGAAAAGAACAGTATGTGTCCAAAAAAAACAAAGAGAGGAAACAAAAAGCTGCTTCCTGGGTCGTAATTTTTTATCACGCACATTCAATTTTATATGTTTGTATTGCAAAGTTGTGTTACCGGACTTTGTTTACAAAAACTTTCCAAAGGGTTTTTCTCTTTATCTGTGAAATGTAAGGCTGTCTTCTCTGTCTATATATTTATTAAGGGTTCAAATTGTTGTAGGATCCACGGCTGTTCTGGGCTGCTTGATTGACACTAAGCTGCCCATTTCCTCTCCCTCTGTCTCTATTTTTGTTTTGATGTAAGAGGCTTGCATAATGCAAAGTCAGTCACCATGGCAATCCCAGATAGTGCTTATTACTATTTCCTGGATGTGTAACATCCAAAAAGAGAAACATTTTGCCCATATACCTATATGCAGTGATAGGATTCAGCCAGTTCGCACCACTTCGGGAGAACCGGTTGTTAACTTTCTGAGCAGTTTGGCAAACTGGTTGTTGGAAGAAATAATTAGGGCAGAGAACCGGTTGTTAAATTACTTGAATCCCACCACTGCCTATATGTTTTCCTTCCATATAAGGCACTAGCATCCAGGATGAATGGATGGATTGAAAATTGCCTGCCAGCCTATGTGACTTAACAAAGTCAGGATTTATGATAATAAAGAGAATCCCAAACTTTTAGGGTGCTGCTTACGTCCATTTATATAACTAAATATCTTTTGACCTTCCTCTGTGTTTCAACAAATTCATCTAACAGAGATTGAATTAATTGGCAGAGTTTGCCGACAAATGATTCAATAAACAGCAGGCATGAAATGGAGGGCAATTTAGGCATACACATGCCACAGACACAACTTCAGTGTTTGAACCCCTGGAACAACAATCTTTATAAGGCATATTATTATATCTCTGTGTTATAACTGTTGAAGGCAGGTTATCCATTTATACCAGAATAAATGCCCTTTTGTGCAGAGCATGGAAAATATAAGTGCAACAAAGGAGGAACCTGTGAATTCACAATAGCAAAAAAAAAAAAAAATCTATCTTTTTGTAATCTGGATCCAAAACTGTCCGCCTGTACTTTGGGGTGTCTTTAGTTGGATCCAAACAAAGGTGATATTCAGCAGGTTCTGACCAGTTCTGGAGAACCAGTAGCGGAAATTTTGAGTAGTTCGGAGAACCTGTAAATACCACCTCTGACTGGCCCCACCCCCATCTATTCTCTGCTTCCCGAGTCCCAGCTGAACAGGAGGAAATGGTAATTTTGCAGAAACCTTCCCCTGGAGTGAGGAGGGAATGGAGATGGAGATTTTACAGTATCCTTCTGCCACACCACCAAACCACGCCCACCAAGCCACACCACGCCCATCAAGCCACAGAACTGGTAGTAAAAATTTGTGAACCCCACCGCTGGATCCAAATAATGTATAGATAGGGAAGATAGCTCACACTAAGCCAAACCAAAATCTATTAGTTGTTTTCAGTGGAGAGGCATAACTATCAAAGAAAGTAAGTTGAAATGCCGCCTCCCAAAGCCCCATAGTCAATTGCAAAAGGCAGCTTTACTTGGAACAGCTTACACCCTGCGATGATACGGTACCTTAAATACCATCCAACAACAAGATCTGCCCATCCCAGGCCTTTGGGAAGGACTTGATAGATGGATAAAAATGCCAAATCTAGTCAAAACATCTGGCTGACTGTGCAACTAACCATAATAATACATTTCATATTCTAAATTTTGCAGATAAGTTTTAAGTCAGCCTTCCCTGATCAGCTATATTCAAGATATAATATAGTAGCTGAATATAATCCAGCTCACTGGATTAGGAAAGGTTGTTATAAATAATGAAGGTGGGTAATCAATTTTCTTCTGCTAATGGGACTAATCCTCCACAATATCTACCTTTGGGGTTTTCTTGCCAAGGAAATGGGAGGCAGCTTCACTCATTTAGATCTGCTTAGAAAGATGAGGAATCCCATGAAACATTGGGAAGGGTTTAGAGAAGGGCTAAAATCTTGAAAATGGCTTTTTTTCCTTGCCCGATGGGATACTCCACTGGAATTCAGTCCTACATATGAATGGAAAGTGATTCTCCATGCATAGACGTCTAATTAGGATCCACACAATTACCAATATAAAGGTAGTCTTTCAGTTACAATTGACCCTAAAATTTTGGTTGCTAAGCAAAACAGTTATTAAGTAAGTTTTGCCCCACTTTATGACCTTTCTTGCTACAGTTATTAAGTGAATCACTTTAGTTGTTAAGTTAGCAACACGGTTGTTAAGTAAATCTGGCTTCCCTATTGAGTTTGCTTGTCAGAAGGTCACAAAGATGATCACAGACTCCAGGTTACTGCAGCTGTCTTAAATACATACCAGTTGCCGAGGGTCTGAATTTTGATCACATGACACAGGGATCTGCAACGGCCATAAGTGTGAAAAACTGCCATAAGTCACTTTTTGCAGTGCCAATGTAACTTGAATTGATGACTAAATGGATGACTGTAAGTCGAGGATTACCTATAATACATTTTCTCTGAAGTAATTTAATGTATTTAATATGAATTGACTTCAGTGCTTTTATGTTTACGGCTTTGCTAAGCCTGTTATATAAAATAATATGATATGTACTGTCATGTGACATTCTGACAAGCAAAATCGATAGGGAAGCCAGATTTACTAACTTTAGGACACTATTTAGGAAAGTATTGAAATGGTTCCTTTTTAATATGATAGGTAAAGATAAAGATTCCCCTCACACATATGTGCTAGTCATTCCCGACTCTAGAGGGTGGTGCTCATTTCCGTTTCAAAGCCAAAGAGCCAGCGTTGTCTGAAAACATCTCCATGGTCATGTGGCCAGCATGACTAAACACCAAAGGTGCATGGAACACTGTTACCTTCCCACCAAAGGTGGTCCCTATTTTTTCTACTTGCATTTTTTACGTGCTTTTGAACTGCTAGGTTGGCAAAAGCTGGGACTAGTAACGAGAGCTCACACTGTTATGCGGCACTAGGGATTTGAACCGCTGAATTGCCAACCTTTCGATCGACAAGCTCAGCGTCTTAGCCACTGAGCCACTGCGTCTCTTTTTTTAATATGATAAAAGCATTCAAAAGAAAATTTAATGGACTATTTAGACATTGCCTGTCTGGACTTGCTGGTGCTCAGAAGCGAAATGGGGTTCAGCCTGGATGATATTTGGATGAGAAGCTTCCGGAGAGTACCAAGAGTGTAGGCTAGATGAAAAACATCTTGGTAGTTGTACAGTGGCCAATAAACTGTGTGACCTGTCCATGAATGTATCAGGAGTTGAAGCCAACTTCTAGGAGACTGGGTTGATTTAACTATGGGACATTTAAAAGAGGCTTTGAAAATGCTGTAGGCCAAATTCTGGGAACTTAGAAAATAGATTAACAACAGAATTCTTAGCAGCAGTGCAATGAACAGTTCAGCCTCTGTGACCTTCAGTTAAAAACAGGAAACATGCTACATCATCTGATCGTTTAGCACTTATCTGAAAGAATAAAAGGGTCTTATACCGGGTGCCCTTCATGTGACAGATGCACAATTATTTCTGGCCTAATTTACAAACTAGGAAGACAGATGAGAAGCCAAAGCTTTCATTTATGTAGCAAATATAAATTGAGTATTCAGTCATGAGAATTTCTTAAGTGAAATGTTTAGATAGAGTGAAGTTACTTCCTTTGATCAACAAAGGATGTATGCAAGAATATTGCCCAATGGGAAAATATGCTATTGACTAGGATTTACAATTTACTTTTTGTCATAGTATTATTAATCACATTGTGTGAAAGCTGTGCAAGACAGCCTCTCAGATCTTCCAGTTTGCTTTTGCTATTGCAACCTCCCTTCCTATACTGTTTTCAGAGAATTTATTAATTGACAAAAGTAGCTTTCAGGCTGAGAGAAAATCCAGACCATTGTAAGCTTTTCTCCAAGATGAAGAACTTGATGTATAATATTATTAGTAAACTTGGTTGATTTCATAATTGCTCTTTAAACATTGTTTGAACAGTTAGTATCTAAAGCATGTACTTTTCTATTATGCAGAAATAATATTTTAAACAAAATCATTTTACATATTGTTTTACCTAAAATATATATTGTAACTTTCCCAATTTGAAACCTTTAATTCTTGGAATTTCCAGCCAAGATGGACTTTTGCTAAGGGAATTGCAGTTGTAATACTCTATATTCCAAAGTAAATAAGGCTGTTATATAACAATATTTATATTCATCAAGATGCATTCAATTTGATCTATTTGCAGGAAAAGTAGCAATTTTGAAGGAAGATTTGCAGAAATATCATAATCGAGACACTTGGTTTCAACTGCAACATGTTGATGCTGATTCAGAAGTGCAGGTAAGATTGTCTCTTCCATGGTCTTTATGATTATGGTGGCTGTCACAATTGAATGTTTTTGGATCCCATTATTTTTGAAAATTTTATAGATCAATGTAACTGCATGGTGGATGTTTCAGTCAATGCCTGGATAATCACATCTGTACATGTATCCCAAGAATTTAATTTTATAAAAAGTTGCTGTGTTGTAATAAACATACTATGTTAACATGGTATTTGTATCAGCGGAAACCACTATATTTCCTTCCGAGTGGAAAGAGGAAATATTATGAAGTCTCAGATAATTCGTTTAACTTTTGTTAAATAGGAACTACTGCTTATAAGTGATATTCTGTGTGACATAGAATAATGTTTGGAGTTTACTTGATAAGGTTATCAGTTGATCACCTAATGATCACTGAGATACATTCATGTAGATGTTAGACAAATCTGCTTATTCTGGAGGAGAACAGAGAGTCCAAAATCACCCTTGTCTCACTGAATATGTGGGAAGACTCTTAAATTAAATTAAATTATCCAGATATGTTTGGAAACATTATTGTGCCCATATCCAGGTAGAAGACAGAGATATCTAGTCTTGACATGATGGGAAATTATGATATAATCTACAATGTCAGAACAGATAAAACTGAAAAAATTAACACTTAGGTCCTTGTTTATTTAACAGTTATTTAAACAACCATTATTTCATAATTTTAGCTATGTCGAGGCACAGTGGATTTTTAAATATATTTCCAAAGAACAGTAGTACAGGAAGACCATATTATATATTTTAGTGCACCCCCTCCTCTTTACATTTCAAGCTACCGGTAATCCTTTTAGAACGTTTTTGAAGTATGCATCAAACATGAAAATATCTATTTTACAGAATTAATGTCATTTTATATTCAACACTTTTAATATTCTCTAAACTTCTTAACCATTGGTTTGTTAATGAGGGATATGCAAACTTTCTATCCCAAAGACCACGCAAACAACTAAGTTCTTTAAAGTTTTTCTCTTACATTAAAATCTTTCTCTTTTTTCCTTTGAGTTATTTAAATTCCAGTTTTTCTGTGTACAGTTTTTTTTCACTTACCTTCACTTTAATAGTTTCATTGCATATAAAAGGGCTTTGCTATCCTTCCAGAAGCAGGGAAATGCTTGTTAAATTGGGAAAATTAAAATACAATTATTATTTTTTGTTTTTTAACCCATACTATTTTATATGAGAAAGTTCTAGAATTTAAAATCTGTTAGCGATGTAGTAATCTTGTAGTGAAACAAAAATATTAGTGATCAAAACAATAGCCTAAGTGTTTTGAATACTTTTAAGTATTCAAGTACTAATTTAGCTATGGATTAGATAATTATGGCTGGAAAGCTTATTCCATTTTTTAGATACTTTATTAGATCTTAATATTGTTCCAGATAAATCTAATATTTATACATGGAAAATGTTACAAGCTTACGTTAGAAAAATATAAGTCAGTTTATAAATCTTCCATAGCAAGAGTACATTTTGTTACCATTCCTTATCACACTTGTTCCTAACTATTTCTTAGAATTTCCAATGGTATCCGCAGCAAACTACAATGGTACCAAAATAATCACAAGCATATCATAATATACTGTGGTGCAGTGAGTGGTATATTGAGTGGTGCAGTGGTGCAAAATATAATAATATACTGTAATTTGATAATTAGATACTTGCATTGTATTCAAACACGCTTGACCTACATTATCATTGCTGTAGTTTTACAAATCCTTATACCTTTTAATAACATTTGTTAGAAAAGTTCTACTAGAGTACTAGACTCCGTACTTTTAACAAAACCAAGCTGTTTATCAAACTGCATCTTTCAGGAAATAATACACATTATTAAATCTATTAAAACATGAAAAATGTTCCTGGTGGTTGTTTGATATCTTCTGTTACAGACTTATAATAATGCTTTTTGAATAAAGTTTTTCCAACTTCCTTTAATGAATTGGGATTCCTCGAGCTTTTTGTTCAAAAGTATACAAACTAGTGATGGTATTAGCTTTGATTGTATGGATTCATAAAATATTAGCAAGCTACAAATGTATTTATAAAACCACTCCCTTACAGTTTGTGAATTATTAGTTTTTCTAATTACTTATTAGTTTACTAATAGATATTTTAGGTATCAATTCAGGGGAAAAAAATTAAACAGCAATGCTAATTTTGAGGAGACCTGATCCACATCCATCTATTTGGCTATTCCTTTTTGGGCTGCATGTGGTCAACTGGAAATTAGAAATCAAATGTAGATAAGCATGCTGCAGAGCATGAGAGAAGCTGAGTTGGTCAAGTTCTATGTTCTCTTCGCTTGCCTGGAACAGCCTGAAGAGCTGAGGTGACAGAGTTTGAGGATATCAATTCAGGTTACATTGGTTCAGCCCTCCACAACAGTCCCAGTTTCTTAGGTAGCCCCTTGGGAAAATTAATTGCCCCTCAGGGTCTTAAGGGATGCCTTTGATATGATGCAATTCAAATTTGGGGATCAAATGTTGGCCATATGTCTATTTCTTTTGTAACTAACTGGATTAAAATATGCAATTCTGATTCACTTACCAAACTTACTACAAATAATTCTTCATCTGTCAAAATGCTTCCAAGATGTCTTTTAATTTAATATGGGGTCCATTGGTATGTCTAAACAGGCAATCAAAGAACATTTGGACCATAAAAATGCTTTATGTGGATGAACAGTTATTATATGCTAGTGATATTTTATGCGTAATTGATAATTACGTTGTATACTAAAATGTTCTGATTTAGTGTAATAGTTTGGTGAATAACTGTTACTCACATACATCTTCCTTACTATAATGTGTTTATTGAGATGTGTTAAAAATTAGACCTTAATTTAATATTTGAAATATCCTAGAATAATTACCCAAGAAAATTATCATCTTTATATATACTGTAATTATTATTTTTTTATTAAATCTGATATTTTGAGTCTTTAGGAAAAGATTTAAATTAAAAATTTTTAAAAAAATTAAATACAAGATTGATATATGTATCCAGGACTTTTAGCTGTTAAAATCCAAGTGATCAAGTCAACAAACCTTTACGTATCCTTAATATCTTGGAAGAGGCTTGGTCTTCTTTATTCTTTTCAGGCTAATGGAATGGTGGGGATAAATTATATAGATGGATTCAGGATTCTCTATCAGCCAGAATGGTAACTCTCTAAACTTGAACAGAACAGAATTTGATCTAGGAGGAGAACCTGTTAAAGTTAAATCCTTCTGTTTAATCCTGTTAAATCTTTCTGTTAAAGAAGGATTGAGTTAAAAATGGCTTAGGTCATGCCAAGGGTTCTGCCAAGGTTTTTTAAAAAAAAATCTCTAGTGCATCTGTATGAAAGGGAGAATTTCTTAGAAAATTGCTAAATTCTCTATTCTAAGTCCCTCTCCTTCCTGGTCATTTGATACAAGAGTGGAGCTATAATTAAGTGTCTTGAAATAATTTGGGAAGTCATGGTTTGCATACCTCCCAATCTTATTTAGTGAAATTTCTACTGTATTTCCAGCACTATCAGCTGCAAGGTATTTTTGGAAGAGATTGAGATACGAAAAGTTGAGTCTTAGCTACACGATAAGGTCATGGAATAATATAAAATTTAGGTTAATCTATGTCTCAAAATTACTGGTACTGTTTTTTTTACATCCATGGCTCGTAAGGATACTTTAGATCAGCTAATTGGTAATAGGATTTTTTTCAAATTATTTGGCATAGTTTAAGAGGAACGGATTGTCTGAAACTGAATTTTTTTATTTCATTTCTGATTTCACAGTTTAGTTTAGATCAGGCATATCAAGCCTGTGGCCCTGGACAAATAGTAATGCAGCCCCACAAGATCTAAATTTTTAACATTATGATATGACAGGTAGTCCTTGATGTACTACTACAATTGAAATGTTGTATGTTGAGGACTACCTGTATATCAAATATATATTTAATATGTGACCCAAGGCAATTGCTTTTCACCCAATGTAGCCCAGACAAGGCAAAAGCTTGGACACCCTTATTAGATACATTAACTTCTAAAACTCCTGAATTGCTTTCACCATTGAAATATATTTTGATTTATTCCAAATTCATTGTATTTTTATAGATAATTAAAGAATAATCTTTAGAATATATTTAAGTTTAAGTATCAGATAAATTTGAATGAACGTAAAACAGATTGTGGGGGGAAGCATTTCTCCCTTTCTCTCCTAGCCTCCTGTTTTTTTATCTCACCCTGTTTGTCTATTGCAATGTTAGCATTTAAATCGGAATATCCTTGGAATAATTTTATTTAAATCGCTTTATAAAATGCTAATGTTCTGATACATCAAAATAGCTCCCTCATCTATTATTTTTGCAGCATATGTAATAGCCATTGATACATGTTAAATTGGACTTGGACTTAACTAATATAACAGCAGGAGTTGAAAACAAACACAGTGTTCATAGTATTTATTTCCTGTGAGACATGAGAAATCTCCTTTGTCTTGTGAAGTGAGTCAATATTTATATGGCCTTTATGTGTTGCCAATACTCACTATATTGTTGATATACAAGCAGATGAGGGACTTGCTTTCTTGGAGACTGCTGATTATTTATAGCATGACTCCTTCTATTTTTGCAGTACATTACAAAAAAAAGTACTTATTTAGGACATGGATTTTAAATGCTAATTATAAATGCTAGAGTATTTTTATGCAGTTTATCACTTCCTCTATTTTTGCTTTGTAAAAGTCAGCTTCTTTATGTTTGGAGCTTGATTATAAATATTTACTTCAAGTGGTTTGCATTATGTTATATTCTTGTTTTTTATGGTTTTATCTCTGTGTTGTAAATTGAAAGGACAGTTTTGACCTTGTGCAGTGTAAAAATGTTGATAAATACATAAAATATGTATTTATCACTTAGGTATATTTAGTCTGAAAATTTATAGATTGCCCTATTGGTAGCTTTGAAATCATTTAAAAATATCTCT